CCTATGTGAGAGGCCCAGATTGGGGGACCAGTCGGACTTGCCCAAGGGGTGCTGAGTTGCCCTCTACATCAGATGCCCTGCAGGGCTGGCAGTCAACAGAAGCGGTTTCCAGACCAGCCTGGTGAGGAGCAGCTGGGGTCCGAGGCTGCCGGGTCGGGGTCAGGGGCTCCGCGTGGAGCCTGGCCCTTCAGGGTGCCCACACCCCCCACAATGCCGCCCTTCCGACAGGCCACATACTTGGGTAAATCAGTGTTTCCCTAATTGATTCAAGTGTGCTTTTACCTCCAGAGGGTGTTGGGGCCCAGCCTATTGTAGGAAGACACCCCAGACACCACCCTGGACGTGCACACAGAGACGTCAGCCCTGAAAGCGAGGGACCGAAGTGACCAAGGAGAGGGGCCAATCAGACAGGAAACAAATAACCTCTTTCAGAGACCTTTTCCTCAGAACATGGATGGGCCTGTGGGTTCAGCGGCCTCTGCGCACCCCAGTCATAAAGTCACTCTGCAAGCACATCCCCATTTCTGGGGAGAAGCCCCCAGTCTGCCTCCTGGCAGCACCAGAAGTGAAGGCCAGGTTTGGGGTGTGAGTAGCCAAGAGTCCAGGGAACCAGTCTTTAGACCTCATGTCGAGGTCACTCATGACCAGTGACATGGGTCCTGCTAGTGATGTCCCTTCCCTTCTGTGAGAACAGAGTCCCTCATGGCTTAGACTTCTGGACAGCTGTGACTGGCTGGCAAAACACTGAGTGATAGACCTTCCCGGCTTCCCAGAGAATCGGGCTCTCTCGCCCCTCAGGCGCTGGGCACACCTGACCGTTCCAAATCGAGGGCACGTTGGCCAGGCAGGGCCGCTCCCCTGCTCCCCAGCCCTCACTCACTGCCCCCCATCACCGGCATATGCAAGAGCACGCATGGGGCTGCTTCTCAGGGCTCAGGCATTCCTCCAACTGGAGGGCCAGGCCCCTCGGCCCCTGGTGCGGTCACTCCCCAGAGGCCAAGCCGAAGGAGTGGAGACCCCCCCCCACACACACACACCCCTGCCTCCGGGGTGCCCTTGGAATACTCCATCAGGAGCGGGCGCCAACTGCCCATGCCCTGCGGCTAGAGCTCGGCCAGCGGCCGTCAGCCCTCAGGGCTGAGGGGCTGGTGGGAGGGGGCCAGGGGACGTCACAAGGTCACTCTTTTGACAGCTGTGACGGACCTGAATGAGACGCAGCTCCTTCAGGGTGAACCCCAAGCAGACCGTGGAGGACCTCGGCCCAGACCTGTGACGAGGTCTGAGATAAAACACTCAAGCTGGGGGCTCCTGACACACCCTGGTGTCCAGCCGCGGGCTACCAGTCAGCACACCCCTTGGGGCCTGAAGTCACCCCCTTCACAGGCACTCTGCCTGGGCACGGCCAGGCCCGCCCTCCATCCTTCCTGTATGGACACCCCATGTGGCCTGGCCTCTCCCACCCACCTCATGGGGGCACGCGGGCCTCAGAGCAGAGCCCTCTGGACCATGTGTCCCGCATTCCAGATAATGGGGCCGCACGCACGGTCCCCACGTGGGGCCCCACCAAGGTGTAGTGCAGACGGGGGGGCAAGTACAACTGGAGTCTCATTTTGGTTTCCTTTTTAACAAGACATAGTCAGCAGAGTGGTACTAGCGTTAGGCTTGGACCACCGGTCACCTGTGAACCTGGGACAAGGCCACACACACCCTGTGTCCCAGGTGGGCCCCAGAATGGGGTGGGGGCACAGCAACTGGGCTCGAAGGCCTGAGGAGCTTGTGCTGGGAGGTCCTGTGGGTGTGGACAGTGCCCCAGAAGACCAGTCACCAGATGAGAAGGCAGCGCGGACAGCTGGGGACACGCCAGAACCTGACGGAGCTTCCTGCCCAGGCGTCTTCCCCCCGGGAGACCAGGGGCTGGACCTGCCTTGGTGATTTGCCAGCTGTGTAAACTTTTGGTACTTTTTTCAGTGCTGACTTGCCCCAAACTTAGGAACAAAAATAAATGGGATGTGTTTCTACCATGTGGTCGCACTTCTCTACTAGATCTGTTGTGTCCAGGGACATCTGTCCTTATCACCATGAAGTCCAGCTCCTGTGACTTGAGGGGACGTAGCAGGGACAGCAGGGCCTCACTCTGGGTCCACGTCCACATCGAGCACACTCTGGCGATGTGGGGCCGAGTCCCACGGCCTCACGCACACACTTCGCCTGACCGAGGTGCATTCCATCCTGGGAGCCGACATCTTCTCTGTTCCCCACCGACTCAGAAGGGACAGCTGCCCAACAGGACCCTGAGGGAAGGTCAACACCCCCCCCCACACGCACATCCCAGCTTCGGGCCATCTCCTCCCTTCCCTCCCACTGCCTGTCTCTGCCACTGTCCTTTTATTCTTTCTGTGTGTGTCTGTCTCTGTCCTAGTCGTGACCCTTCTAGACCAGTGCTTGTCCAAGTGGCGTGCGAGCTGACTGCTCCAGCCCTGCCACAAATAATGGAGATATCTGTGTGTGTGTTGGGGGGGCGGGGGGGTAGGGGAGAACAGGTCACCCAGTCATTTAACAGCCATCAGAGCCGGGCACTGCAAGGAGTTTCTCCAGCCCTCTCCATTTCTACCTATGGCTCTGTAACAAAACAGTTTACAAAAGAAAGGCAAACTGACTCATTTAACGTAAATTTAGGGGACACAGGAGTCCTCACAGGAGATGAAGACCCACAGTGGGTAGGCCTAAGCATTTCTCTAAGTTGAGCAAGAAGTGCTTGTGGAGAAGTTAACGGAACACGTGGGCAGACTGAAGATGAGCTACTGAGCAGGTCTGTTTGCTCAGCATTCTCTTAGCCTGACGCCATCCCCGCTGGGCCCGGAGGGGGACTTCCACAGAGGGGTCAGTTCCTGCGTTCAGGAAGAGAACGGGAAGTCAAGCACCTTTAGCTCAAAATAATCCTAAGCCAAAGGATCATGTTTGGGGCAGTGTGTTGTGCCACCCTTCAGAGTGACTAGCTGGACCTCACACTGGGAGGCACCCCAGCCCCCAGGGC